TTAGTCATATTAAATTGAGGATTTAATTAAAAACCTACCAACAAAGAAAACCCAGGCCCTGATGGAAATTCCTGCGGAATTCTACAAGAAATTTAGAGAAGACCTAATTGGCAATACTGCTGCTTTTCAAACTCTTTAATGAAATTGAAAGGGAAACAATGGTCCCAATTTATTCCTGGAAGTAAGCATTTTATTGATACCAAAACCAGAGAAGGATCCAACCAAAAAACCAAAAAAGGGAACTACAGATCAATTCCCCTAATGAACACAGATGCAAAAATCCTCCATAAGATACTGGCAAACAGAATCCAGCAAATCATCAAGATTATATACCATACCAGGGATGCAAGGATGGTTTAACATGAGCAGATCAATAAATGTAATACACCCTATTAATAAGAGTCAAGGACAAAAACCATATTGTAACAATAGATGCAGATTAAGCATTTGACAGAGTCCAACACCCATTCATGCAAAAAACAAAACACCCTACATGATCTTTGTCTCATTTTGATAAAAGTCATCTACCACAAATCAACAACCAACATCATACAAAACAGACAAAATTGAAAGTTTCTATTCTAAAATCAGGAATGAGAGAAGGATGCCCATCAGCACCACTCTTATTCAGTATAGTTGTGGAAATACTCACCAGGGCAATTAGACAAAGAAATAGAAGGAATAAGGACAGGAAAGGAAGAAGTTAAGTTACCATTATTTGTGGATGACATGATAGTCTACAAAGAACACTGTGAAATGTCCATCCAGAGTTCTACACTTACTAAATTCAGTAGGGGAGTTGGGTACAGTCAGCACTCAAAAATCGACAGTATTCTTGCACAGAAATAACAAACTCACTGAGAAAAAATGAAAACTTTTCACAGTATAAAAAAAAAAACTAGGAATTAATCCAACAAAGGAAATAAAAGACATTTACATGGAAAATGACAGTAGTGTGAAAAAGGACATTGAAGAAGATACCAGAAAATGGAAAGATATCCCTGTTCTTGGGCAGGAAGAACCAATATAATGAATACTGCCAAGATTGTTATACAGATTTAACACAACTCCAACCAAAATACCAATAGTGTTATCACACAGAATTAGAGAAAACAATCCTGAAATTCTCTTGGAACTAGAAAAGACCTAGAATAATGCAATTATCAGCAACAAAGGAAGGGCAGGAGACATCACAATCCCGGACGTAAAGTTATACTACAAACCTATTGGGATAAAAACAGCATGGCACCAGCAAAACAAAACAAAACAGACTTAAGGACCATGCAGAAACAACTCCACACACATTTATCCACCTTATCTTTTTTTTTTTTTTTTGTCTTTTTCCTTTTTATTGGTACCGGGGATTGAACTCACGACTGCCTGCTTTCAAGGCAGGCGCTTATGCCGCCGAGCTAAATCCCCAGCCCAAGCCACCTTATCTTTGACAAAAGGGGCCAAATACCTTCCCCGGAAGAAAGGCACCCTCTTAATAACAGTGTAGAACACTGGCTTTCCACATGCCAAAGATTAAAAGAGACCCATGTCTTGTATCATGCATTATAGTAAAATAAAAATGGATTAAAGATCTAAATGTTAAAGCAGAAACACTAAATCTGCTGGAAGGCAGGACACGTAGACTTCTTGAAGACACAGGTATAGGCAAAGACTTTATGAACAAAACCCTAATCACACAGGAAATAGCACAAAGAATCAACAACTGGGATCTTGTCTTACTAAAAAGTTTTTGCACAGCAAAACAAACCACCAACAGAGTGAGGAGACAACTGACAGTGTGGGGAGAATTTTTTGCCAAAAGTTCCTTCAAAGGACTAACATCTAGAGTAAAGAACTCAAAAAAATTAGATCCTCTAAATTTAAAGACTAAATGCAAAAGTAGGCATTTACCATGAACAGACTTCCCAGACAAAGCAGAGTGATAGTAAACATAGAAAAGACATTCAACATCACTGGTCATTCCAGAAATGCAAATTAAAACAATGCTGAGATTCCATCTCACTCCAGAAACAATGGGTGTTTTCAAGAAGTCAACCAATAACAAACGTTGGCAGGGATGTAAGGAAAAAGGAAACTTTTTCCAGTGTTAGTGGGAATGTAAACTGGTGCAACCACTGTGGAAATCAGTGTGATTTCTTAAAAGTCTAGAATTAGAGGTTCCATTTGACTCAGGTATTCTCTTTCTTGGTACCTTCCCGTATGAATTACAAGCATCATAGTACAGTGATATATGCATACCTATGTTTATAGTGCCACATTTTGTAGTATCTAATACCTTCGGGACATCCCCAATGTCCATCAATGAATGGACATATTTCTTTTTATACAATGGAGTACTACTCTGCCATAAAGGCTGAGGCATTTCTAGTTAAATGGATATAACTTGAGACCACACTCTCAATGAGACACATACCTTTAAATATTACATTATTTCTCATGAGAAGCCAAAACTGTAAGCCTCCAAATACATAATAGTTATTAGGAAATACTCAAATGAGGTGAACAAGAGAAGTGGGAGGGGGGAGGAAGGGATGAGGAAAAAATGGAAACTGCTTTTGTATGAGGGAAACAAGAGTTAAAGGGAACAGGAAAAAGGAATCAAGATACACCATGTGCAACTACCAATTCCCTATGATGAACACTATCATTATTTACATCTACATGGTATCCATAAAAAATAATCTAGAAAAAATAAGGAAACAATGAAAAAAATAGAGAAGCTAAATCTGCAACCAGAACCAGACTATCATGTTCTAGGGGGAAAAAAAAGGAAAAAATCCAGCAAAATGAGCATCAGGAGAGGATTCCTAGCAGGTGACAGCACACGCAGCCTCAGCTCTCTCCAGCTGAGCAGGGTATGACTACGGGGCAAAAGCAAACCCCACTGACACACCCTCCGCACTATCATTGGAGCACAACGGTGGTCACCGTGGCTACAGATGGAGACAGACACTATGTGCAAAAACCTGTCTAAAAATGGCGGTGGGGGGGGGGACCACTGTAAATACTAAAAAGTAAAGCATAACTATCAAAAGCCACAGGGTTAGCCCAGGATGATGGCCTATGCCTGTATTCCCAGTTTACAAGACTGAGGCAGCCGATGCCCCAAGTTTATGGATAGCCTGAGTGACTTACTGAGATCTTGTCTCAAAATGTCCTAAGAAGGCGCGGGGCACTGCTCAGCACTGTCTGGATTTACTCCCCACCAACACAAAAAGAAAAATACAGTGGAAGGCCTGAGGACGAAGGAATGGGGGGAAAAGACGTGTGTATCTAGGTGTCATGTTTCATAACTGATTACATCACCCACATTCACGAGATCAGAAGACATTAAGAGCATGAAGATCAACTCATCAGAAACCTCACTCTTAACTCTGCTCTGGAGTCTAGTGGCCCAGACTTCGGAGGATGGGCCATCTCTTGTCCTAAGTGTCAGCAGAAGGTTGAGGCAGGAAGCAGTGAAACGTCCACATCTGTGCTAGGCTGGTGTTGGGCGCAGGTGCTCACATACCCCGCCCGGGACTAAGGACCACGCCAGCTTCCGAAATGCGCTATGTCCCTCTCTAAACTAGCCACCCCGTGCTCACTCCGTATTTGCCCCGTGCCAACTCTGTGGCAACCCCTGATTGGCCACAGCTGGGTTTATTAGCCAGAGTCCGCGTCTCATCCCAACCCTGCCTCCTCGTGACAGCCTGTGATTGGTCACGGCCGAATATATAAGCCAGAGCCCGCAACAATAAAGCGGCAGTTACCTGTTACCCACAAGAGCGTCCTGTCTCATTGGGGAGCTGCACCGGTCAGGCTGGCACAGGTAGCTCCTTGCTTGCCCTGTGACATCTGACCCACTGAATTGGTAAGTGTGGCACCCAGGGCTGGCAAGGTCAGGTGGTACCTGCTGCTGGTGAGGCCACACTCACAAGGCCCCTTGGGAAAGCAGTGTGGCAATTAACTAACACCCAAATGCTCGTTTTGTCTTAACAGTTCCACTATGTGGAATTTACCTGATATAAAAGTTCACTGAAATGGTAAAAAATGTTCACTGCAGCAAGTTCCTAGCCTAAAAGTAAACTTCGTGTCCCTCCATGGGTGGCTCAGCCCTCAGGATGCTGCTTCCCTGGCCTCAAGTACTGAGAGACCATCCTGACTCTGCCTCATATAAGGGCCCCATTCCTAGCAATTCCGTGCACGCGTCTTTTTGAGCTCAGCAAGCCCCTGCCTTCTTGGTGGCTGCCAGCAGTCCCTCTCCACTGTTTCTAGCCACTGGGCCTTTGCACGGACTGCTTCCTTTGGTTCATTACTCCTATTCCTGCGCCTCTGTGGGGCCTCTCTGACCCCTCAAGTGGAATTCTGCCCACTTCTCTGCTTCTGGTCACGGACATCTGACCAAAGTTCTAGGACAGCAGGGCTATACTTGGCTGTCCCAGCGGACACTCAAACCCAAGGGTAGGAAGCGTGGACAGACATGTGCTGAAGGGGGAACTGCTAGTCAGTGGAGAGGCCCTGCTCCTTCCTGCTTCATTAAAACAACTAATCTGCAGTAACTCTGTCCAGGACTGTTAAGGCTACAAAACCCAGCAAATATGCTAAAAACTGAGGGACAGGGCTTGCTCTGGGCCCTATGGGATGCCAGGGGCAGTAGTAATGCTGGCCCTGGGGTCCTACAGGGTCCGAAGCAAGCCGTCCTCAGTTTTTAGCATACTTTGCTGGGTTTTATAGCATTAAACCTGCTTCTGCTGCCCACATCAGCTCCGCCCTCAAACAGCAAGGTAGCTGCAGCTGCTCCTGTCTCATCCTCCTTGGCTCAAAATACACTGGAAAGAAGAAACATCTATTCCTGAGGGGACTTCAGCACACATACTCAGAGGTGCTGCCTGGGCCTGATGGCCAGGCCAGGGTTACAGAGGCCTCAGCCTCGATGACACTGTGTGCCCAGCTGAGAGGGGTGAGGGGCGGATGTCGTGGATCAAAAGCACAACACTGCAAGCTGGCAAGCATCTCTTTCTTTTTAAAACAAATTATGAGCAGTGGTTCCACTGGGATAAGGGACAAAATACTGGTGATAGGGCAGGGACATAGTTTCCGTCTTGCGCTATCCTTCTTCCTTTAACAGTGACATTTTCTAACCACATACATGTACATGTGTTGTTTTTAACGTCTTAAAACCACAATTGAGGTTTTTCTTTAAAGAATTTAAATTCCTAAAAATGATATCTGCATATAAATGTCCTCTTATTCAGAGTGTCTCCATTATATGAATGGCAAAAATTCAGATATGAACAGCCACACACCTAGTCAGTACCATAGAAAAACATCACAAGCTGAGGCACTTTATCAAAGGAAATGTCTAAAACACTGTAAATGAGGTCGTTGTGTCTTCACTGTGTCTGTTCAGGACTCTGCTGGTCCTTGCATGCACACCTGACAGCAGTCTCACTCTGTCTTCCTTAAGCCAAATGACAGCAAGAGTTCCCTCCAGTGCAGGACAGGGACTGCAGTCGGGACATCCCAAGTAATGGCCCCGTGTTGAGCGGCACTGCTTCTGAACCCAAATTCCCTGCATGGATGCGCTTACTTCCCAGCTATCTGGTGACCCGTCCAGACGCCATGGCTCACTTGACTTCACAATGATGCAAGTGATGGCTGCAGCTCAACAGTCTGATTCGGTGAAGCCAAGTATTCGACAAGTTTGTCGGATCAGAACTTGCTGTATTTTGGTTAGTAGGAAATCAGAAGACACAGCCCACCACAGCTGAGCAGTAAGGTGAGGCAGCAGTACGGGGCATCACAGACCCACCAGCTCTAATGGGAAAAGCGACATAGTCACATTCCATGATTGGTGACTCTGGAGAAAACATGAACCTGTCAGTGTCTGCTGCTCATCAGAAAACCATAGTCTCCATCTTTGAAGGCTTCACAACAGTAACTTTTGCACTGGCCAGACTGGTCACGTGGCAGACCCTTTCGAGGAGAAACATGAATGTCACCGGGTATGCAGCACCCACCCCACCCACACAACCAGCAAGGTGTTCCCTTGTCCTGCTGCTCTAAGGGGAGTGGCACTGTCACAGGTCTTCTCGATGGCTCCCAGCTCTGTTGTCTTCCTTTGAAGCTCGTGATCTTGAATTCCCTTCCTTCTTCTTTTTGCCCTTTTCTGGCTTTGTTTTATTTTTCTCTTTGCTTCCTCCTTTGCCAGGGTACACCTGCCCCTCTAGAGTGACATCAGCACACCTGTCTTGATTGACCAAAAAGTCCTTGATCTCCCATGCGTAGCTCCCATCCCGAAGCATGAAAATTGCCCGGTCTGAGCCCACGATGAACCTGGAGAGAAAGGCAAACAGACGGTTAGCACAGTGCTAAACAGGCAGGATAACTCTGTGCTACAAAAAAAAAAAGTACACCGTGAATTGTACATGACTACAGAACAACAACAAAAAAGCATTTGCCAAGGCCTTACAGCTACAGACATTTAACATTTGAAAATACCAGCATGCTAAACTATAGGAACCCACTAGGATCAAAGCACAGATGCAGCTCTGCAATGTAAGTGGACACTTTCGCTGAATAAGCACAGGGACAAGCTCTGTCAGCACCGCAGAAGTAGCTGGCGGATGCATGTATGTATGTATGCATGTACGTGCATGCATGCGTGTGCGTGTTCTACTTGCATGTGTTTTATATTCTGAAGTGTCTCTTCCATTCCCATCTGGTTTATATTCTGAAGGACCCAGTTATTTACTTGACAAAAGACTTCTACTGCTAACAGCTAAGAACTACTGGCTCAGGAGAGCTTGCGGTAAGCAGCCCTTAAAGTCCAAGAGGACACTGGGCAACCTGACAGAAGCCCCAACTGCAGTTCCTGGCAAGCAGCCCAGCCTGTCCACACTCAGCAGGCCCCGAGGCCTGGTGGACCACTGGTACAGGCAACAGGCATGTTTCTCCCACTTCCAGGGGATACTACACTTACCCCCACCCTCTACACTGACCAGTGATCACCACAACAGGTTCATTCTAAGTTTCTGCTTAAACTAACAAAAGCCTTCTGTGGGCCTAGAGCCTTTCACAGCCACAGCACTGCGCAGTTCCTGAATTAAGAAATAGTATACGCGAAATCCCAAATTTCACAACTGCTTGAAGGGAGAAGCATTTGCTTTTAAACTACCTTCAGGACCAGCTGAGCTGTGTAAATGGCTCCTGCATGTTAGATGAGTCTTCTGTTGATGACATGCTGCAAATTCCACGTGTAAACACAGCCACACTTAAGCGGCAGTCCCCACCGAGCAGCAAGTGCCGACCTGCTGCGAGTCTGACCCCAGCTTAGGCTAAGCTGCACACTGTTCAGTCATATGAATTAAGTGAAAGCTACAAGGATGAATGCAACTTGAGGGTTAACTGATAAATAAGGTAAGCGCAGCACAGCGCAGCCTCATAAAGTGCTCCGGCCTTTACCTCTGCACATCATAGTTGGCATTGAACAGGCTGCCCTGCCACAGGCTTGTGATTTCCTCTGTCTCCTTCTCCGTGGGGCTCCCAGATACAGTGACAAACATCATGAGCGTCTTCCCTTTCTTTGTCATTTTCAGGATGCTCTCAGGCTTCCCCGGATCTATCTTGGAGAAGTCAACAGGTGCCGGGGGTCTCTTATGCTCTGGAAGATCTCCCTCTTCTATGTCATCATCTTTCTGGCAAGATGGGGAAAAGCATCAAACCATTCATCAGAACCTCGCTTTGCAATTAGCGCAGGCAAACACCTGCACAAAACAGGGCAGGTGTCCAATCAACAGTCCCAGGAATTTCCTTTTGACTTGTGAGCGGAGACTAAGTTTCTGGTAGTACCTACTGCCCATCAGCAGCCCAGGTCCACTCCTGAGAGCCCCATGAAGGACTCCTACAGCTTTTTATTCTCAAAGAATCTACTCATTGTGATTATAAAAATAGACACATTTTGTTAAACAAACTACCTAGCAATGAGGAACAAATACTGACATACAACAATCTCAAAAATACTAGTGACCAAACGGCACGAAGTGATGCACTGATCCATGCAAGGTTGAAGGAGAGTCATAATGCAGGGAGATAAAGAGGACTAGAGTGGGTGCTGCTGGGAGGAGATGAGGTGGAACACAGGAACTTGCTGGGCTAATTGGATGCTCTGTATTTCATCAGGGTATAGATTACAGAGATGTATCCGCTCATCAAAACTTATATACCTAAAATCTGCATTTCACTATGCACAAATTTTAACTGTAGTTACTACATTTGTTTCTTGCAGTACTATATGCTAGCAATGCTCACACCACCTTCTGTCAATTCTAAGCCTGACCAAAAGTGGAGACATATTGGGGACAATGTGAGCCAGGTTCCTCGGTTTTGGAGAGGCCACAAATACAGGACGAGGGAGGATGTATCTTGTGGTTTAGGATGAATTAGAGGCACCACAGGAATTCAGTGTTAATGGACTGACAGGTAGACATATGGATGCATGGATAAAAATATTTCAAAGTGGGGAGAAAAGGTTAACCACAGCAATGACGATAGAAGAGGTGCCTAGAATAGCTTCCTGTACCAGGCAGCAAAAAAAAAAAGGGCTCAGTGAATCATGGGATATGTCAAAATGACAGGCATCAACCTGATGCAGTTCTTATGACCAAATCAGGAATAAGATGAACATCATACTAAGGAACAGTAATGATTTCTAACTACCCAATAAAGCAAGATGTAACAGGTCTATGCTGATGCAAACAAATGAATAAAATGCTAACATATAATGCCAACCAATAAACAACAAAAAACAGCAAAAAGATAAAAAAAAAAATTTAAAAGAACTAGGTTCCAGCCAGGCGTAGTGGTGCATGCTTATAATCCCAGCACTCTAGAAGGCCAGGCAGGAGGATGTGCCGTGAAGCACGGGCCCTGCTGTTAGAGGGGCCTGGACTCAAGTTCCCTGCTCCAGCTCTTAAACTTGTGTGACCTTGGGCAAGTGAAAATCACTCTCCACACCTACAAGAGGAAGGTGGAATGACAACACTGTGACCTCCAAGGTTCCAGGGATTTAATGATCAAGGCAAGATGCAGGGAGTTCACTCATTAGGTCCAATAACCCTAAGGAAAGTATACTCTTGAGTCACAAGGTAGCCTAGTTGCTAAATTCCCAGGACCCTCTGTTACTCAAAAACTTTCAACAGCTGGGCATCCTCTCCAGGGCATATTTTGAAATCGCTTAACTGTAAAACTAGGAAGACAAAGCAGTAATTTTGGGGAAACAATAGCTATTCAAAGGAAAAGCATAAAAGTTGTCCTTTTCTTAGTTAATTCTTGCAGATATTCTGAGGTGGGCACTAGTAACATTTCTAACTTACAGATGAGAAAACTAAAGCTCAGAGGGGTTCTTTACCAGTGTGGATTCACAAACAAGTCGAATGAATGCAGAGAGCCCAACCTCAGAACCAGTGCTATTTAATCTTTGCACTATTTCCCTGGTTCCCACATTCATGCTGCTGTTAGAAATCCCCTTCTCCCACACTGTCTTTAACCTGTCTATAATGCCACTTCCAAACTAGGTATGGTAGTGGAGCATGCCTGTAATTCTAGCCTTTGGAAGGCTGAGGCAGGAGAATCACTGGGAGTTTAAGGTTAGCCTGGGTTCAACAGTGAGACTCTGTCACACACACACATACACACAAAAGGGTCACTTCCTACTTGTAGTCCTGTTTCCCACTGAACTTTCTTCTTGTAGTGCTAAGCTATTTTAATTGAGTGTTCTTACTATTTTTTGTTATCTACTGCTCTGATGGTTCCTTTGCTTATCTTTTTTTTTTTTTTGTCTTTTTTGTTTTTATCGGTACCAGGGATCAAACTCACCACTGCCTGCTTGCAAGGCAGGCGCTTATGCCGCTGGGCTAAATCCCCAGCCCCATCCTTTGCTTATCTTTACAGCACCCTCACCCACTCCAGTCAGAGTATGAGTACTCAGAGGGCAGGATTTCTCATTTTGGCAGATAACAGGCCCTTTTTTGCTAGTCCAAAAAAAAAAAAAAAAAAAAAAAAAAGACAGGGAGATAAGAAGAGAGATAAGAATGGGAAAGGGTCCTCTTTAACAGCAGTATGCCTATACTCAAATCTACTCCAATCAATCCAGCAACTACAGATAAGCATGAAAACACATACCTGCTTTCTTCTAGTGAAATGTATCAGGTGGCATTCAACTACTTGTCTTTGCCCCCTTCCTACAGCACTCCCAGAGATAGTAAGAGATAATGGCACAGTAACAAAACATCAGCTTTCAAAGGGGTCTGAGAAGTCATTCACTAAAACCTCTTTCCCCAGATAAGAAAACCAAGGCTGAGAAGGGCGACATACCTGCCAAGGTTACAGTAAGTGGAATTGAAGTTTCTGGCTCCACTCAGCCAGTTGTGCATCTGCTAAGACAGCACTACCAGGAAGGGAAAGAGCTGGAGATGTAGTTTTGGTCCACTAAATTTACCTTAAAATTCTATTCACACTCCCCGTGTATCCAAATAACTAGAAAACTTAAATCTCACCAGAACGAGTTACTATCCCTCTAAACAAAAACTGCGAATTCTATGGCAAAAACTCACCAACTTTAGCTACCCTCCCCCTCACAACAAAGTACATCCACACAACATGACAAAATTCTCAGCAGAACTGTCATATACCAAAATGTGAAGTCGGGAAATCCTACTGATTTCGAGGACCAGGTAGCTATCAAAGCTTTAATTCTTCTGAAAGACAATAAACCGCCACGACCCACTCGCCCACCTACTCTCCCCGGAACAGAGGCCTGGAGGAAGAAAAGGCTCCTTAGGAATGGAGTGGGAAAGGACTCCTCCCCCGGTTTGTAGGGCTCATCAGTCACGGTCACATAAGCAAGAGGCGACCAGGACGCAGAAGGGAAAGCAAACCTGAAGAGCGTGGCTTATCTTGACTGAGGGCCACAGGAACGAGAGGAAAGAGGACAGGACAATGAGAACCCCGGGAGGGCATTGAAGGGTCCAGGGACCTGGGGAGGCCCTGAGGACTGGCGATGATTGAATGTGGCGTGAGTAAGGCTGTACGGCAAAGGAGGTCATGGGTCAGGGACCCCGACACAGAGAGGGTAAGGGGGTCAAAGAACCGGGAACGCGAGCGCGAGCAGCGGACCTCCCACTGTTCCAGGAGACGCGCCATGTCCGCATCATTGTAGTCGCGAATGTCCTTCTTCTTCCGCGGAGGCGGGGTGGCTTTGCCAGGTGTCTCGGCCGAACTCTCGGTCGCGCAAACCCCAGGTGGCGGCAGCAGCAGGAGGTCAGAGGCACAAAGCAGGAGCAGGGCCGCACGCACGCACCTGGAAGCCGCCATCTTTGCTGAGCAGCGCCGCGCCGCGGAGGAGGCCGGGCCTGCGGCGGCTTCCGGCCCTATCCCCAGGATCACGAGCCCGCCCCCAGGCTCTCGGCTCCGTCCCTGGCTTCCGTGCCGCTCCCTGGTTCGCGCCCCGTCGCAGGCCTCTCAGGGCAGGCCCTGGCCTCATGACCCCGCCCACCCGGCCCTAAGCTCCGCCTCTCGCTCCCGGGCCGCCCCTAGCTTCCGGCCCCTGCAGCTCACATCCGTCCTGGTTTCCGACCGCGCCCCCGACGAACCCTGCGTGGGCCCCGCCCCTGCGGCACTTGCCCCGCTGCTCCTGGCCCTGGGTCCTCGCTCCCCTATTGGCCTCCGATCCGTTCTCGTTCCTCCCTCTCCACCCTCCGGAATCCCCGCCCCTTCCCCGCCCTCCGGCATTCGCTAGCCAATCCGTCTCAGCCCCGTTCCCGTTCCTCCACCCCCGGAAGCCCCGTCCGGCCCGACTCCGCCCCGCGGACTTCCCCTGGGTCTGGCAGGGCGTTCCACCCGCGCAGGGTCGCACCGGGGTTCACGCTGCGTTTTCCCTCGGGGCTGGCTTTTTCTCTAACTCACCAACTGGATCCGTAAGTCCCCGCAGGGCCTCAGGAGCTGCCAGGCGAGGCCGCGGAGTTTCGCTGGTGAAGAGAGCTGGTGCTGGACGTTTCTGGAAGCCCCCTCAGCGTTGATAAAGTCCTTTCGGGGTGCTCCTATGGGCCTTCTGCAGCTGTTGCTCAGAATAGCCAGTTAGAAGTCAGGGGCGGGAGAGCAGCTCGTCCAGAGAGTCGCAAACCGGTGACAGATGGAGCGGTGTACCCTGCTGTCAGTACTGCTGTCACCGCCAAACTCAGGCTCTCATTTTTAATCTCCAGTTTTCATTTATTTGAAATAGCTTCAGCCTGTCTTCTGATATCAGCCTAATGTCTGGGTTCTAGCTAGTTCTTTTTTTTTTTTTTTTTTTTTTTTTTTTTTTAAATCTTTTCGAGACAAGGTCTCCCTGTGCAGTTCAGGCTGCCTTGAGCTCACCCTGTAGCCGAGGCTGGTCTCGAACTCAGAAGGATCCTCCTGCCTCGACCTGCCGCGTGCTGGGATTACAGGCGTGCGCCACCACCCCCGGCTTAAATAGTTTTTTAAGGCTGAATTGTGCTACTTTTCATCTCTAAAAAATATTGCCAGAGATGCTTTGAAATCCCAGGATTTTTAAATGGTGGCCATGCTGATTTGTTTTACATTTTTAATTACATAAGACATAAACAGTGTTATCAAACGTTCAAACATTTCAAAGTATAGATCCCACAATTCTGCTGCACACAGCAGTTACCAGTTTGTTACACAGTGCATACATTTTCCCTATATACTCGCAAGTAAGTATCACTGTATCTTTAGAAGGGGTTTTGTGGCATTTGTGTTTGTAGCAGCTATGAATTGTACTAAATTTCTCAATATGAAGAATTTTGATTCTTTATGCTGCTACATAGTATAATGCAATATCTTTGCACCATCAAGAGCAGTTACCGTCTGTTTCTACTATTACAACTGAAGAGCAGCAATAAACCTTTCTTCATGCTTTGTATGGATGTGATTAACAGGCTTCCTGTAACAGAACACTGGCTTTTTAAAGTTCAAACAAGATAGTGTCTTTTTGTGGCCAGCATTTCTTTCACAGAAGCAGGTGGAATCAGCATCTAAGGTTGGTCACAAGTTCCAGCATGGCTACTGGAGAGCCAATCATTTGCATGACATTCAACCAGAGGAAAAAGGATGAAAACCAAGCCAAGCAGAGCATACTTTTCAATGGGGCCAATTTCTTTTAAGCATCCTTCTTGGAGTCTGCACACAACATTCTGATCTCATTGACTGGAACCTGGCTTTCCAAGAGAAGTTGGGAAATAAGTCATATAGCTCTATGTGATGTCAGCCCAATATAACTGGCATTCTGTTTGTTACCAAGGGAAAAGGATAGCGGTTTAAATTGCATAAAGGTTGATGCCGCTTGTCTTCCCCTGCAATGACAGATATTCTACATATTCCTCCTGTGTATATGTAAACATTATGCTGTTTCCTATTGATATCAAGCTGAAAACAACTCATAGGGTCTCCCCACCCCCACTTTTCTTTCTGAAATCATAAGGGAAATGTCATGAGCTTTCTCCCAAGGGCACATTGCTCCACCCAGTGGCTTGGAGCTCTGTCCTGGTGCGGTCATGCTAAAAAACATGTGCAGCTGTGCAGATCATGTGCTGTTGGGAGGGGTCAGTCTGGTAAGTCATTCCCCTAGTTGCCAAGTCAAGGTGCAAAAGTACTGGGATTCTTGGCCCACAGGCTCTAGTTATACAGTGACTTTGTGTTTTACAGAAGCTGTTGGGATTGGGTATTTTGTTCCTAGTTTACTTTCATCTAATGAGGAAACTCTTTTGGCTTAGAACCTAATGTGAACACATCTGGATCCAGGGCCTTCTCAACACGTCGATGTTTAAATACATTTCAGTGTTTTGGAATGTGATTCAGTTCAATTCGGGAGGAATTTATTTCTTAAAAACCTACCCTAGACCAAGAACCAAGGGAGGTACTGATGTAAAGATGAACATAACAATCACGATTCTGGCTTTTGGAGGTTTGGGAGTAGCAGAGGAAGTAAACAGTGAATACAGTGCAGTTCACAGGCCAGGGTCTGGAGGGACTAGGTGAACCTTCTTTTTAGGGGGGTGAGATAGAGTCTCATTCTGTAGTTCAGGCTATAGACTCAAACTCATGGCAACTGTGCTTCAGCCACCCCCACCCATGTTGAGATTACAAGTGTGGCCCACCATGCCCAGCTGGAATGACATCCTCATTTTAGGAGGAAATCCAGGTTTAGGAATTGCATAATTCACTTGAGGCCACATAGCCAGCACAGTACAGGACAAATATCTGTGCCCATGTGTAAGGAACTGTGGTTTATTTATATATCTTCTATCTTTCCCTCATCAGAGTACCCAGTCAGGTACTCTGCACAGTGACACTGGAAGACCACATGGAAAAGGGTTGAAAAGTCTGGAGCCAGGAGTATGTAGATGGGCCAGGTGAGAACCAGCTCAAGACAGTGCTGGGGAGGAGGTAGATCGAAGGAAATTGTGTGGCCACAGCCAAAAAGAAGCACAAGGTTATACTCACCCCACCTCTAAGTGGTACAGGGCCATGGAGGAAAAAACTGCCTCTCAGATCTAATTAGTATCCTAATCTTAGCCATCCAGACTTGTGTCCTCCACACTGGGTAAAAGAACAGTTTCTAGCACTCTGTGCAATCAGGCAGGAATGACATTCAACATGCAGAAAACTTAGCATGGTACAATTACCAGTCCCTAGGGCTATAAGGTTCATTTGCCTTTGATGGGTAAATGGTGTGAAGGCCTAGGGGAAGGGTTGCAGATGGAGAAGATGAAGCAGTTGTGACAATGACCACCCAGACTGGGCCTGCACTGCTATTTCATGATGTCCATATCTTTCTGACTTTGGTTGAGGAAAAGCTGTGAACACCTAGATGGTGGTTCAATAAAAAGACACTTTTGTTTCCGAATTAGCAGAGAGGTTTAATGAATGAATTCTATAAACACTTACTGATGACTATGCAATCCCACTGAGATGAAAGGGACACAAGTTCCTGTCCTTTCTTGTTTGAGACAAGGTCTTATTATGTAGTCCATGCTAGCCTCAAACTCGAGATCCTCTTGCCATAGTCTCTTGAGTGTTGGGCTTACAGGCATGCACAGCTACACCTGGCTCAAGTCTCTCTCCCTAAGAGATAACAGGGTTGTGGGGACAGCCACCACCACTTACACACTCAAGATGCCAGTGGTGACACTGAAGCTCTGTCCACAGCACCAGCTGACATGAGGGGTTGGAGATGCCCAGGGTCCAGATGAGCCAAGAGCAGCAGCAATAAACCTTTCTCTCCTGTTACTGCTCATGTGGCACATTGAGAGATCAAAACATAGGCATAATTTGTGTTCAGAGCCCAGGAGGCCTGAGTCTTAGTATGCATTTCTCTTCTCTAAGGCTCTGAAAAGTGGAAACTATATTCAAAGATCACTGGCCACTACAGGAAGGCAACACATAATTTATTAGTCTGTGCAAACTTCACCTCCACATAAGGTGCACTGGTGAATGGCAGAAGTTCAGTGCTTCCAAGTCTTGGGACCTGAATTCTCAGGTGTTCCTGATGAGAGATGACTAGTTTGACACACAAGCTGCCCTCCCATCCTACCTCCAGCTGGACAAGGAGGCAGCAGATGGCTACCGAAGCAAGCAGGAGACAGGGCTACTGGTGGCTGGGGTCTTGCCCTGTGCATTCTCTTACTGGATGAGCACAAAATATGCCAGACAGCAGAACACATCAGCTAAGCAGAGTGACCAGGATGAACCAGGGACTCTCAGCCATACTTATAGGGCTGACTAAAACAGGAGAAAGGAGGGGTAGGAATATATCCTCCAGATACCGATGAGATATTAAAGAGAAGCAAACAAGCAGTGATGTTTGGATATGTGCACGAAACTTCAGACTGAAATGGCCCATGCAGAGCCAAACAAAACAGGGCCACTGGTGTGGAGAGCTGCGGTGAGGATATGACTGACCACCAGGTGGCAGTGTATGCCTAGTACAGCCTGGTTGTTGACCCATAAAGTCTGGGTGCAGCATGAAAGCTGGGTATCAAAACACAGAGCACATACAATGGAGTATTATTTAGGGAGGAAATCCTGATGCATGCTACAATACAGGTAAATTGTGAAGACATTAGGTGAAAGACATGATACAGGCATCAAAAGGCAAACAAAATTGCACTTAAATGAGGTATTTAGGAGAGATTCATGGAGAAGAAAGTGGAAAGGTAAATGCTGGGGGACAGAAAAAGGAGGGATTGTGTCCAAAGCCCAGCTGGTGGATGCTTCTCCTAAAACAGGTGAGACAGTGAGCCACTCCCAACTTCTGGCCAAACCTTTAACCAGTTCAATCTTGCTCTTTTGTTTTTATCAGAGCCTATTAAATGTGGGCCTTTATCTAGCACTGAGGATAAGTCTGGGGCCAGGTCACTTCCTGTGTAGCCTGGCCACTTTTGTCTGCAGTACTTACCTCCCCTAGTCAGCATTCTGTCCAGGGGTGCCAGCTGTTCCTGTGAGTCCATTTAAGTGAGGGGTACTTGGTAGTAACTGAAACTTGTAACATTTCCCCAACTATTTTCCTTTTTAGGATGCATGGTTTTTATCAGGAGATACTCAAAATTTTGCAAACATTTTCCCATCCAACCCTGAACTAGTCTTGGTATTCATTGAATAATTTTCAAGCAACTCTACTATGTTTTCAGCTGCAACAAAAATGTCACAGGATGGGTAATTTGTAAGTAACAGAAAATTATTTCTTGAAGTTCTACAGCACAGATGCTGAACCTTTTAGAACTCTCAATGGTACAAACAGCCCACCATTGCATAAGTGCCATAAGTTCACCACCACTGAGCGGAAGTGAGGAAGTCCTAGATCAAGGGGCTCACTGGGTCATTACCTGGCAAGGGTGCATTCTTATACAAACTGCTTTGACTTTCATGGGAGCATTGATTTCACTTATGTAGGCTCCCCCTTAAGTCTTCAGCACCCTGAAGGTCCTGCCATTTAACACTATCATACTGGCAATTCATTTTCAGTATATGAATGGGGAGGTTAATCCCACAGCAAATACTTTGCATGGTATCCTTGTTTTTTGTTTTCTAACATTTTAAAAGAAAAAAATTCCCATAGCCAGAGTTTTCTACAGAAAGTTATTACCCCAGTGACTTTAAGAACAGATGTAATAAACAAGCCTTCCTCTATTCTCAAATTATACTAAATTATGCTACAACAACACAGATTGCTTAAATATTAGTGGCTCCACACAACAAAAATTTGCTTTGTGCTCACAGCATTCCCAGTGTGGCTCCAGAGGGGGTCTGCTCCAGGCAGCTGCCCTGCCTGTGGCAGCTCCTCCGACCATGCTAGTTTCCTTGCAGTTCTAGCAAGGTGCCAGAACAGAGTGGAAAACCTCAGGTTGGCTTCCACTGTGCCTCATCCTGGAGATATGGGCATCCTTTCCACTGACCTTTCCATGGTCAGGATGAATCATGTGACCAATGGCTATGGGAGTATTTGCAAAGTTACATTGTCCCTGCTGTAGTTTCTTTGCCGTCATTTTGCAAACAGTGGAATCTAGACTGCTTATTTGTGAACTCTTGCCCTTCTTGTACATGAATCTCACAGGGAGAGGCCTCATATTACTTATTATGTAATTCTGTGGGCTGAGTGCAGATGCCCAGTGTTTGTGGAGTCAATGAACAACAGCAGGAAGTGAAGGAGAACCTAGAGAATGGTGGAGGCAGCATCTGGAAGGATCAGTTCTATGGGAGCTTCTCTAGCTAAAACTAAAGAAAAGAGGGTATGAAAAACACTCCTTTCAACTGCTAGAGCTACATGAAAGCTTGCAGAATAAAGCTCTATGTGTGCAACACAGCACTTTGCTAAGCATGGATGCTACCAGCAACAGTTGCAAAACAATCTGTAAAGAAGGATGAAGGAAGACAGGACTCCAGGGGCACCAAGTGACTTTGGGGGGAAAAATCTGATTTCAGAGCAGTTACACAGATGAACCTGGTAGATGGGGTAGAACTGACTCCTTCTCACAGGAATTTAGAGCCAAGGATTAAGGCGCTGTCCCTGGGTTACTGTGGACCTTTCTATGGAGCTCTCTGATTTGTCCAATTGTTTCTCTGTTGTAAAAAAAACAAACAAACAAAAAAAAAAAAAAAACAAGAAAAAGGATTAACTCTACAGAATTGCAACTCACCTAGAAAGTCAAAGTCATCCGTTTTATCACTTCACTATGCAAAGTAAGTTGCTTCAAGTAGATTCTGGGGGATCTCTAAAGACAGTAGAGTGATAATCCACCCACGCTGGAATCTCATTCCTCGCTAGCTTGTTAACAGTACGTCTCATTGTCTGATCTCCCAATTGGGCTTGGATAATAAACTGAAGCTCATCCCAGCTGCACGCCTGGCTGAGAAACGCGGGGCTGGGGTCGCAGGAGTGCGACCCGTGGGTTTCAGGAGTCCTCGGGCTAGGCGCCTGCGCAGAGGAAGCTCGTAACCAGCTGCTTCTGGAAGAACTTGGTCTGAGCGAGCAGTCTGAGGGCAGCTGCGGGCGGGCTGGGACTCTGCTGTTTCCCGACCTTCCAAAGTCCCTCAAGGAATCTGACGGTCAGTCTACCTATCTGTGAAGGCAATAATGTTTACCTCCAAAGGGACTCACTTTTCCGCAATGGCTGCTGTTAATCCACTACACAGACTAAGTTAACAGAAGGCAACCTGCAGGTCAAGGCATGGGCCAAAGGCACACTATGCGACCCCGCGGCCACCAGACACTTGGAGGGAACTAGTACAGGGTCCACGACTCATAAGGGCTGCAAGACTGGCCCCAGGAAGCGTGGTTCAAAGCTTGTGCCGACTATCTAAGGTTCCTCCGGTTAAAGGAAGGACGCTGAGCATCCGCCCCAAACCCCCACCCCCCACTCCGCCCCGGAATCCAGATCCCTCGCTGTTTCCCTCACCCTACACAGCCCATCACGACCCAGGAAGGCAGAGATCCAGCACCACAAAGGGTGGGGAGCTGGGAACACCAACCAAGTCCCAGCGGGTCGCCAGGGCATGGTGTGGGGCGGCCACAGCTCTCCACCCGGGACGCGGGTCACCGCAGCCTAGGTCCCGGACCGAGCAGAGCTTACGTAAGGCCGGCTGGCGGCTGCGCCAGGCTCCCAGAGGGCGCGGAGCCCCAGCTTCTCCGCCGGGCACCGCGGGAGGCCCGGGCCCGACCGCGGTGCATCGGGCGGGGCGGCGGCGTCCTCCCGGCCACCCGCTTCCCGGGGGAGGAGCAGCGCCTCGCGCAAGCATCCGGGAGCGGGAGCGGGAGGGGGCGGAGGAAGGGCGAGAAGAGGAAGCGGGATTTAAACGAAAGGCGGTGACGCCACACAAAAGATTTCTATAGGCTCCGCGGCGCGGCGCGCGGAGAGGAGCAGCGGCGGCGCCGGGCCGCGCTCGGAGACAGCGGGCGGAGGCGGGCGCGCTCCGCGGCCTCGTCCCGCCCTTCCTTCCAGCTCTCCCGCGCGCTCGGAAGTTGGTGGCGGGCGACGAAGATGGCAGGAGCCGGGGCCCGGGCCGGCATCCTCAGCGCAGCGGGGACCTGCTGAGCGGGGCCGCCGGGGACGCGCGCAGGGCGCCGATGAACTGGGCGCGGGGCCGCGGGGCAGCGCAGCCAGCCGCCGGGATGGACGCGTGCGCGCGGGGAGGGCGTGCCGCGGCGCCGGGCCGCGCGCTGTGAGCCCAGATCCCGCCGAGGGCTCCGCCGACCACACCCTCGGCCCGCAGCCGCCGCGGCGCCGCCCCCCACCCCAGGCAGGGCGGCAGGAGGTGCACCCGGGGCGGCCGCCGAAGCAGGACCGTGCCAGCGGCCGGAGTCGCGGCGTCTGAAGCCCACGTGCGCCGCGGAGCCCGGAGTGAACGGAGCGCGTACCCCGCGCGTCTCCACGAGGAAAGGATTTCGGTTTCAAAGAGAGGAAGGAAGGAAGGACAACTCCCAGCGTCCCCGTCCCGCCCTCCTCGCGCCGGGCCGGGCCGGGCCATGCCCAGGAAGGCGGCGGCGGCCCTGCCGAAGGGACTTTCCGGGCGGCGCGGCGGCGAGGCTCGCGGGCTGTGAGTGCACCCCGCCCGGTTCATGCGCCCTGCGAGCCCCTCAAGAGGCCGGACGCCGCAGCCCCTCGCCGTGCCCACGAGAGCCGCCTGGCGCCCCCGGCCCGCCGCGTTGGATGGCATGATGCCGCGCGCACGGCGCCGAGGCGCGGGCCATCAGAGACGCGGGCGCGGCGGCGGAAGCGGGGTCCCCAGCGGCATGCCAGTGCCCCCCGGGCGCGATGGCTAGCGGCAGCGCCGGGAGGCCCACCGGTGAGGCCGCGTCTCCGGCTCCCGCGGGCGCCGTTGGCGGGCGGAAGAAGCTGATGTCCGTCTGTGACCACTGCAAGGGCAAGATGCAGCTGGTGGCTGACCTGCTGCTGCTGTCCAGCGAGGCACGGCCAGTGCTTTTCGAGGGTCCTGCCTGCGCGGGCGCCGAGTCCTTCGAACAGTGCCGGGACACCATCATCGCGCGCACCAAGGGGCTCTCCATCCTCACCCACGACGTCCAGAGCCAGCTCAACATGGGCCGCTTCGGAGAGGCAGGGGACAGCCTGGCTGAGCTGGGTGACCTGGTGGTGTCACTGACCGAGTGCTCTGCGCATGCTGCCTACCTTGCGGCTGTGGCTACACCGGGTGCACAACCGGCGCAGCCTGGTTTGGTGGACCGCTACCGCGTGACCCGCTGCCGGCACGAGGTGGAGCAGGGCTGCGCTGTGCTGCGGGCCACCCCGCTGGCTGACATGACCCCGCAGCTGCTGCTGGAGGTGTCGCAGGGTCTGTCGCGCAACCTCAAGTTCCTGACAGACGCGTGTGCCCTGGCCAGTGACAAGTCTCGGGACCGCTTCTCACGCGAGCAGTTCAAGCTGGGCGTCAAGTGCATGAGCACGTGCGCATCGGCGCTGCTGGCCTGCGTGCGCGAGGTGAAGGTGGCACCCAGTGAGCTGGCTCGCAGCCGCTGCGCGCTCTTCAGCGGGCCACTGGTGCAGGCGGTGAGCGCGCTGGTGGGCTTCGCCACCGAGCCGCAGTTCCTGGGCCGAGCGGCTGCCGTGAGCGCCGAGGGCAAGGCGGTGCAGACCGCCATCCTGGGTGGCGCCATGAGCGTGGTGTCAGCTTGCGTGCTGCTGACCCAGTGCCTCAGGGATCTGGCGCAGCACCCCGATGGGGGCGCCAAGACGTCGGACCACAGGGAGAGGCTGAGGAGCTCGGCCTGCGCCGTGTCTGAAGGCTGCACCCTGCTATCTCAGGCTTTAAGGGAGAGGTCTTCGCCCAGGACTTTACCGCCAGTGAATTCCAATTCTGTGAATTAGCATCCCCATCCCTTATTCCACCCCCAGGCTAAGGGAAGACACTTAATCTCTGCCCCTCTCCATTTATACCAAAGAAATCACAGGTGAACCCCGTCCCCCGCGTCCCATGCTCAGTGCTCCAGAGTAATCCCCTGGAAAGGCAAGACCATCGGTGCCTGGCCCAAGCATTCCTGAGTGTGGGTAATGGTCGCGGTATTACCCTTCATCCCACCCCAGCCCATCGACTAAATTGATAAGTAATTGGGCAGGAAGGAGGTCATGGGTTCATTTTTTTTTTTTAATTGAAAGAAAGGTTACCTCAGTTTTCACACCTTAGACATGGATGTAGCTACCTTTTGTATGTCTTTTTTTTTTTTTTTAAATTAGGAGTATACTTGGTGTGGAAAGAGTATGACTTTGCCATGTGGTTTGCAAATGGGGGGAAAGCTACTGTGAGCGTGTGTTTTATTTTTAATTTACACTATAGAGTGATTTTTTTTCCCCCAATGTCAAGTTTTTACCTTGCATGTACTGGAGTATTTATTTCATCTATTAAAATGTTATGTTTCTCAGATGGCTTTTTGCAGTTATTGTTGGCTTTTCACTAACTTGTTTTGCATGATGCCTTTCTCTGGAGAGGGACAGAGGAAAGGCTGCTACAGAGTGGGAGGGTTCCCAACCCTCAATGCTTTTCTCCTAAGAATTATCCCTTTGAGCAGCCTGGGAATCAAGAAGAGAGTACTGTGCGGAACATTCTGTTTTTTTAAAGGCAGGTGGCACAAATCGGTTGAGATGGGCAGTTAGTGTGGGTTTTGTCTTGGTATCTGGTTTCACTGGGAAGTAATTTAGCTTTCTTTGTCTCTGCTCATCTTCCCACCGTAATGAACCCAGCATCAGGCCATCGAAGTCTGATTTGTATTCTGCCTGTCGTTTCCAGATGAAAGCATTTCCTAATCCTGTGTGGGACGCCAGCCTTTGCCAGCCTTCCCCCAGCTTGAGGATCTGTGTGCAGGCCTTAAAGGACTGTATATCACTGAGAATATTGAGCACGTTGTATGTAGATGGATCTCTTCACCTGAGATCCCCAAGACTTAAGGAAAAATGTAGAGGGCCCCTAAACTGTTTAGCAGAGGAAGGTGTATTCTGGAAAGTTAAGAACTTTCTGTGTCACACCACAGTTGCAGGCAAAGTGCTTGCTTTTGTGACCTTGACCTAAGACATGCTGTGGTTGATTGTATGTTGAAAGAATGCTTTGTTGATTGAAGTTTGGAGTCAGGTTAAGATAATTTCTGCACTCTGTAGGACATTTAAAGGATTTGGGGGATGGTTAATAATAGGTGTATAGTTTTGCTGAACATTGTCTTACTAAAAGAATAAATTTATTTGCAGTTCTTGAAGTCTGGGAGGGTCACATGGATTAAAAATTCATTCATGCTTTAATTTGTCCAGTTTACATTTTTCTTGGGATTTGTTGTGCTTAAACCTTGTCTGCTCCCACAGATTTGAAAAGAATTTTTCACTCTGAATACATTAGGGAGAGAGAGAAAAGTCATATTGACTGTTCCACTTACTTGAATTGCCATGTTTATTGCAAGGTTAGAAAATTCAATGTGTCAAGTGTGTTTAATCTATTTTGGGTAAGACCACCATAGTGTCACTGCTCTGAATTTGCAGTTTGAAAAGACTGAAAGTAGTAATGTACATATGTCTTTTAAAAATGGTCAAGTGCAAATTGTTTTTCTCTCTTGGGTACTGATAGATAAACCTTTTTTGTATTGTTTTGTTTTTTGAGACAGGATCTCACTTCATAGCTCAGGCTGGCTTTGAACTCAGCATTTTTTCCTCCCTCAGCCTCTTGAGTACTGGGAGGTTTAAAGGCATGTAAGTACACCCAGCTTATATTTAACTTTTTAAAGTAAAAGATGAGAAATGACAGAATGCTTATCCTCCTCTTTCTGGCCCCCACCTCCTTCAATAAAATAGTTTGGATGAGGCTCAGGAAGATTTTGATGGTGGGGCTTCTGTGCCAATGGCAATCCTACATGCATCTAGAAATTCTTACTTTATTTTTGTTAATTGGGCTTATAGAAGTAGTGATAAAATCTATAATCATATGGTTCATTGAGCCAGTGTAGATCACAGAGAGTAAACTAAAAGGAACAGACTCAGACGGAGTGCCAGAAGTTTATAAATTTGATATTTGATTAAGAACAAAAGAATTGCCAATTTTTTCCTGGACTCATTGCTTGCAGAAGTAGTTTTCAGGGCAATTCAAGCCAAAAAGAAAGGAAAAAAACTTACTTGCCCTATCTACTTGGATGAAGTTAACTAGTCTGCGAATTAATCTTGAATCTTCTTTTACTTTAAGCCAAGTGTTAGCCACTGTTGTTTTCAGCAAAGATCTGGTTATAGAATATTAAAAACAATTCCTATTTTTTGAATTAATAAAGATTCAAACTATTAACAGTTTTATTTAATACTATGCCCTCCCATCTAAGAGAAAGTTCAGGGTTTTTGTCCTGCAGCAGGTGTCTGTCATAAATTCAATTCTGCTTGTGTTTTTTCCTAGCTGATTTTAAGAAGCCAGAAGGAACAGGGGCACATTACTTCTGTGTCTGCATTACTTGGCTGGGCAAGGGACTTGGACACAGATCTTTGGCACTTGAACTTGCTTCCAGTATACCAGGTTGCTAAACTTGTTTTTAAAATAGTGGCAGATTTTTTAAAAGGAGTATCTCCGACCTATTTCATAATAGGGTCTAATAAGGTCAGCAGAGATTCTGGTTCCAAGAATAAAAACAGGGTGGCAGTTTCTTTGTCTCTTTGTCTCTCTCTCTATCTCTGTCTCTCTCAAAATTACAGGGCGGGAGAGAAAATTTAAGACACCACTCTGGGTTCTTCTGATTTAGTTTTGTACGCAGTCTGAACGCATATCATTCTGGCCAGGGTTGTTAAATATTGTGTGCTTTACAGCAGCCAGGAGGAAAAAGAAATCATTTTGGCTTGGTACCTAACAAAAGCCTTTATTTATGACAGCCTACTCAAGTAAATAGGGCAGACCAGGCTTTCAAATATAAGGCAAACCCAAAACACAACCCTGTCTTTCTTAGGCAGTGACAAGTTGGAACTTAATTATTTTTCATTCTGGGGTGATGTTAAGAAATGCAGTAATTGTGTGTGTGTGTATTTTTTCTGTCCTAACCCCTATCATCTTCATAATTCGGGAAGCATCAGTTAGCATCTGATGGGTTATTTTACACTTTGAGCTGGCATAGGGATCTAAAGTATTTGGCAATTTGAAACAGCTAATTTTAACAGAAACACCTGTTTTTCCAAATGCGTGTGACTATGGTAACATGCAGATCAGGCAGAGGGTTTGAAAAAGGCTTCAGAGCCTTTCCTGACGGACTAGGAGGGAAGGGAAAAGGATGTGAGAGGACTCGGAGACTCCGGAGATCAGTGTGCATGCTGTGGTCTGCTCCCTGGATTGACAGGCCATCCAGCCACTGGGAGGGACCTTAAAGAGGCCATTGCTGGGCTTTGGTAGGGACACAAATACTCATGTTCTTTCCAGGCAAATTCTGATTTTTTTTGTTGGCATGTGTGTGAAGGGAATTAGTCTCTTTTGCCCAAGTGAAGTTGCATTTTAGGATTATTTGGATGAATAGGTTGTCTGCTCCAACAGTGGTACAAAGCTCAAAAAAAGTTTTTTTTTTTTGGCTTTTTGAGATAGAGTTTCTCTACATAGTTTAAGCTGGCCTTGAACTCACTATATGGTCTAGGCTGACCTTGAACCTATGGGAACCCTCCTGCCTCAGCCAAGTTCTGGGATTACAGGCATGTGCCATCATGCCTGGCACAAGGCTTAAAATTAACTGTGCAGATACTTTGAGAAAAAAGTGTGATATTAGAGTCTACGATTGGGATCCATTTCATTGTAAACTCCTGAATGTTACAGAGGTTGTAGAGCCTGATACGTGTGTGGCTGGCTGTTTTTTGAAATGACTATGTGTATAAGATGCCTGCAACAAGCATAAACAAATAGTTAAAATTGTCTCCAAAAATGGAAGTTACAGTGCTCATTCATTTGGCAAATATTTATAAGGAGCCAACTATATGTGATAGGCACTGGGGTACATCTATCTAGAGCGTAGTACTTACATGTCAGGAGGCAGTGGCATTTCTTCACTTGTCCTGTCTGCTCAGTTTGTGAGGACTGTTCTTTAGGTTCTTAATTTGCCTTCTGTCAACCTAGAGTCTTTGAGAATCCCGATTTTCTTTGTATGGAGTGTGTGTGTGTACCTCAAGTACAGAATTCTCCCCACCTCCCTACCCTTTGGAGGTGAACTGAAATCACACAGTTGGAAACAAGTGACATAGCTTTATGTTGTTAATCTGTTGACTCTTTTTCTGGAAAATTGGAGACTGCTGACAAGGTAATTCAAAACCAAACCATTAGCTTTTTTGTTCAAGAAAGGGCATTTTGCTGTTGAGTTTGTAAACTCCCATATTCACATTCAAATGGTGGACCGATTTATTCCAAAGCTTACTTTAAGGGCTTTATAATACACTCAGAAAATGTGCCCTTAAAGGTGGACCATACACCAAGAATTAGTGTGGTTCTTTAGAACCAGAGTTGGTACTAACATCCTCCATCGATTGGTAGATACATGAATCTCAGCCCCAGCCCCAGACCTACCCAGATTATTTCTGTGCTTTGGCAAGACTTCCAGGTGATTTCTGTCACATGAACACTTGAGGGCCTAAGTCTTAGAAGATAAATGTAGTAGCTATGACCTAATTGTGGTTTTATTCCTTATGATGGGACCTTGAACATTTTTTATGTTTACTTAGCTCTTTGCATATTATGTAATTGGATCCTCAGAAAAATCTCATGAGGCAAGCAGGTATTACTCACTGGGCCTGTCATCTAAATGTTTGTGCCTGTTTCCCCATTGTAAAAATTAAGCCAAATATTTATAATGAATTCCCATGAATTAGAAGGCCTTGCAGTGAGCACGGTTCTGACTGGTTTGTAAAGTCATGGCATTGCACATGGTGTTAAAATTGGTTTCCTCCACTAATATTGCCTTTATCTTTCTACAGCTTTGACATAGCAAAGACACCGTGACATCCTTGGGGACAGCCCATGTGTGAGCATGGTTGTTTTCTCAGGCCTCCTCAAAGAAGTGTTCTGTGTAGTTTCAAACCTATCCAGATCTGCTAAAACATTGGATGTCTTAAATTTCTGAAACCACAATCTCAGCCAAAACATTTCAGACGTCAATGAAGTTTAAATGCTAAGAGTTGTTAGCATAATTTATAAATGGATCCTTTTACTGGCTTTAAACGTCATGATTTACAGTTTGATGTGTTAGTCTGTTCAAATACTTAATATGTATACCCAGATTCTGTTGTAGCAGACACAGAGAGAGGACTTTGTTAATCCTGCACCAGAAAGGGGATATACATGTGATGCATCCAACTTTCCTAAGCACGTTGCTCTGAAAGCTGCTGTAACAATAGTGCATCAGCTGAATGTTGCTAACATTTGCCTAAATTTAGATATTAT